GTCATGGTAGAAGTGAAAGGTCAGTTAGCTTATTCTCAGGAAGCTACTTGAGCAGGGCAGTGTGGGATTGAGCCCCTGTGCCAATTAAAAATCAAAACTCAGATTTTTTATCTACATACATTAGCTTGCTGAAGGTTGATTGCATTTTGGCAAGAAACATACCTCAATACAGGGATTAGAAATATATATGCAAGTTGCAATATTGTAGAGATGCAGTTTTGGCAGCAGGCAGGATAACACTAGCCCAAAGCCTGCCACATTGCATTGAAGAGACAAGAGGCACAACACTGCATTCGTGCTCTCTATGAATGCCAGGACCTTGCTCAAGAGATGCAACTTCAGATGTCTTATAGCAGGAATCCACCTCTGAAACCAGTAATATACATTCTGACTTGGAAGTCATTCTCCTTTTGTTTGACGTTTATTCTTCTCTAACATCAATTACAATTTAGTCCACTTGAATGGAAGCTTCTTTTAATGACTTAAAAGTAATTTAGCTGCACAGTGATTAAGTAATTGAAACTAAAATGAGTACAAGTAGAGTTATCTTTCTGAAATAGCAAAGCTTCCCACACAACAAAAAATTTACCCCGCAAGGGTGCATTGCCCTATTAAGAATCATAAAAGATGGCCACATATATCACATCTTCAGTCATCACCAGACAATGTGATATATATCTGGGGTGGCAGTTGCATGAGGGAATTTGTATCATTTCTTCACCTTTTTCCCCCCCCAGTTTTCAGCCTGCGAAATGCTTTCCTAATACAGCATGAAAATAGATATCGGCAGTGCATAGCGGTCTTCCTGCTACAAGCACAAACAGAGTCTGCCAAGGTAAGTAGCTCATCTTTTCTCCTCTGTAGTTACACAACTACACTTTCCCTAGAGGAGAATCACAGCTGTGACATTTGACCAAAACAAGCAAACAAACCAAAAAATGGTGTGGTGGATCACATTTTATTTGCTACAGAATTTTTACTGAACACATATCAGTTTTCTTGATTTGGTTGTTTATTTTTGGTTGTTGGTTTTGTTTTGTTTTTTAATCAGGGTTAATAGCAGGTCTTAGCTGTCTGAAAAACATAATTTCTGATTGCTAAAACAATTGCCATTCCATGCATAACAGGAAGGAAGATGGATAGACCCTCCAGAGAAACCAAAGATAAAACAACCCCCCATTCCTATCTGCAGTACCCAAATCAGATACCTCATCTACGCATAGTACACTCCTGCAATTTCAGACTGAGCAGATAGTGTGATTCATTCTAGTGTTACATAAATTTACCCCTCATCTTCACACATCACATTTCTAGTAGCAGTGCTGCTTGTAACATCTGAAATTCTGGTAAGAACCTTGCAAACCTGCGGTTTGGTTCTCTTTTGTTTAGTTGTTTTTTGCCCCGTCATTTAAAATTCATTCTCTAATACCTACACTGAAAACGTGACTACCAGTGATAGCGATTCTCCACATAAATCGCAGTAGAGAGTCATTTTCAGGGAAAAGCAATGAGTGAACTCTTTCCATCTCCAAGCCACTGGTTCATACTTGGAATAGCTATGTCCTCGAGAAGTAGTTACCTGTTACTGAAAAGTAGAGGTGATATTTTCAAGCTGCCTTCATGCCAGGTTGCAACCACCTTATCAGTGTCTTCCAGTTTTATTTTACTACCAAGAAAACCCAGCACCGAAAGGTTCCTTCCACATGAATGCAGTAATACTATAGCATTTTGCAGAATTTAGTCTCTCTGATCCCCAGGAAAGCTATACCCTATCCAACGCTGTTTTGAATAAACTACTGTATTTCAGCTCCTAAACCTTATCTCAACACAACTTACTTTTTGTAAAACAAACTTAGCTAGTTAAGACGTCCTCATGGCTTTGGCCATTACAATCTGCAAGGAGGAAGGACAATGATCTTGCTAAGACCAACTTGTGAGGGCCATCAGACCAAGAGTCTGAGGTAGATAAGCCATGTCACAAGGGAGACCACACTGAATGATGCCAAAAGTGCAACACTCCCATTGATTCACCCCAAGCAGAGGGCAGCTGCACTGCAGGCTACCTTGTGGATCCCTGTTGCTGATATAGGCCTGCCCCGGCCACCAGCTCCCCTCACCAGGTCCAGACCTTCCAGCCCAACATGCACCCCTCACTGTAGCATGACTCTGCATCAACTGCATGGGGAGCACATGCTCCAGGTTTTTGCCAAGTATGTATCAGAGATGTGGTGAACACCTTGCCCCACCTCCCTCTCAGACCCACAGTACTTGGCAGATGTAAGAAAACACAGAACTGAAGCACTGCTCACTCAGCCCATCTGTGCAGCAGCCCTGCCTTCTGCTCTCTTCTTCCTTGTCCCCACTCCCTGAGCCACAAAAAGCTGATAGTAGAAATCTCCTAAGAGACCACTCCTGGCAGACCAGAACATACTGTACACCACCTCCTCCCCGCCAGCAGTACCAGCAGAACAGAGCAACCACCCCCAGCCATTTATCCTTCAATGATGTATTTATCTCATTCAGGACAGACACACACATATAGAAACAACCTGAAGGGTCACTAACCAAAGTTATGAATCCCAGCATAGCATGAAGTATAGCAGGCTGCCTTTCCTCACATTTCTATTCCTGCATCTAAGTTCAGTGACTCGATGCACATTAAAACAGGAAGAGCAGCTGCTGACTAAGCAAAACAAAACCCCTGCAGTGGGAAATGCACAGCCAGACCTCCAGCTTGTAATGCTGCCAAACAATTTGCAATGTTTGATCACAACAGTTCTGACAGCTCAGCTTCTGTGACCCAGATCACGTGAACTACCACAGGGGAGTTCAGTATTTTAAACCCCTCTGCAGCCATCATCCACTGCCTTCAAACCTGGATGATGGAGGATCATAGAGTCACAGAACGGCCTGAGTTGAAGAGGACCATAATGATCAAGTAGTTTCAACTCCCCTACCATGAGTAGGATCACCAACCACCAGACCAGGCTGCCCAGAGCCACATCCAGCCTGGCCTTGAATGCCTCCAGGGATGGGGCATCCACAACCTCCTTGGGCAACCTGTTCCAGTGTGTCACCACCCTCTGTGTGAAAAACTTCATCCTAATATCTAACCTAAACCTCCCGTCTCAGTTTAAAACCGTTCCCCCTTGTCCTATCACTGTCCACCCTCATAAACAGGATATAGAGCTGAATGCTGTCAGCATGGTGCAGGAAGATGAAATTCACATGAGACAGACCTCAGATGGGTCAACCATTTGTGGTGTTGATAGCACTGGAGCTGTCTTAACCACCATAATATGGAGTGCAAGCTGTAGGGACAGCATTAAAAGAATAAATACTAAACAAAAAGAGGTGAAATAGCCAGCAGCAAATGTAGAAGCAGAGCATAAAAATCCCATCTTCATACCAAAAAGGAAACCTTCACTGGACATCTCAGGCCCAGCACACAGTGATGTGCTGTGGCCTTAGTAACTGGGAGGCTGGGCTCTGGGTAACTTGTGCTCACTTGGGGAATTAAAAGCCTGAGTCTGAAGAGCAGCAAATGTAACTGAAGGCTCATGGGTGCTCGTTTCTCTGAATTACTAGAATTTCTCAGATTGCCTAGGCTTACAGATTATTTTTCTTGTAACAGAAAACATGGATGTCACAGATAGAAAGAGCAATCTCCAATTACATGAAGTGATGTGAAACCAAGAAAAGCACACTCCTCTGCTCAACAGCTGAATTCTCTGAAATTTAATAATGCCAGTACAGCTCTGATAGATGCAACAGAAGGCTACTGTGGTAATAGCACCATTATTTCTTCCACAGAGCATTAACTTCCTGAAACTAACAGGCTTCTGACTCAACTAAATCAAAGTGATGAGCTTTGATCACAGGATGTAGGAATAAATTGGAGGGGGAGAATGAGCCACACAACAAATACATCACTCTCAGATGCCTCTTTGCTTCAGCTTGGGGAAGGCTCTTCCCAACAAGGTAAGTGTTAATATGACCTGTTCTTTCCTAGAAAGCAGGGCAAGGAAAACACCCATGTTGGTGAGGAGAACTTGTGCACCAGAAGTCTAAAGCTCATACAAACTATTCACAAATTTCACAGATTTCAAACTGTAGCTAACTCTCTAGCCACAGCTCCCGTACTTATTCCCTTTCTTCTGTAACACTGCACATTGACACCATGGGAGCAGATCAGTAAAAGCATGTATTGCCTTAATTCTCCATTAGTTTTTGCAAGGAGGCTGTTTAATGCTGTTTCTCTGAAAAGGTCATTCTTACATGTAACATCCAGGCATACTGCAGAAACTACAGAATGCATAAAAAGAGAGAACAAAAATGCAGTGATGTTCTATGTATAATGGGAACCTTTTTTACCTGACACTTTTTCACAATGTTATTATTAGCAGATTTGTCATTATGTATTATTTACTCTCAGCAAAACTGAATTCCAAAGGCTTTTCAACTTCTCTTTAGAAATGTGAACTTCTCATTAAACCATTCAATACATCACTGCAGTTCTGTGATCCATGAAGTGCACACTTGCTAATCACTTTTTTTTTTAAGAGATCCATGAATAGAATCACAGAACAGTTTGCATCTGCTTGCCACAACACATTCACAGGTTACAACTGAGGGTGAAGGGTGCTCTCACTAGGCTACTTTTGGCTAAGTGCCTGAAATTAGCCAGTTAAGAGAGGAAGGCAGACTCCCTAGAGCCACTCTCCATGGTCTGCCACATCTCCCACTTGCCATGCCCAAGCGGATAATCTCCCTAAACAGGGAAGTCAACTCTTAAAGAATACTTCCAGTACCAAAAATTATTTCAGGGGAACCAACTAGGGAAACTACACAGATAAGGACTAGACTGAAAAATTTAGGAGTGCCCTTCCAACTGTTTGCATTACTCATGGTTAAATCAGCATACCTCCTTATCCCTGTTCTGACATCAAGCGAAAGTCATGAGCTCAGCCACTGCCCCTCATCCAGCTCCACCCATGTGGTGGCCTGTTTTACCCACCTGAGCTTGTTCACATCTATACATACAAATTCCAGACCAGAGGTTGTATACAGACTTACCTGGTTCACCATTGTTCAGATGCAAGTACACGTTCCTGCTCCTCCCCATTATGCTCATGATAGAAGTTTCTGTCACAGCTTAATGAAAAAAGAGCAGCTATCCAGGCTTCATACCAAATGGTAAACGTGGAGGACAGGAGAGCAAAACTAAGCAAACACAGCAGATCTACTCCAGGATGTAAGCTGCAAACACTTAGCCACAGCTTGGCTTCAACAGCTGTGCTCAATCCCCACTGATCCCATACTCAAATGCACCTGGTCACACCCTCACATCCCTGCTGCCTCCCCAGAACCTCACAGTATCCTGCAGCCGGTGACATTTCCAAAGAAAGATTTTTAAGCCCAGAAAAGCCATGCCTGTCAGATAAAGCCCTGTGCTTTGTGAGCTGCTGAAGGGGGAGTTTTTGCACTTGTGTACTTTTAGCCAGAAAGGCCATTAAGGCAGGTCTGTCTAGTTTATCAGGCAACTAAGCAGTGCTGGAGATCATTTTCTACAGGTCAGCCCACCTCCAAAGGAGGACATGCTGGGGGAAGGCAGTACTTACACCCTGTGTTCAGGGAGAGAAACTTAACAGGCTCTTACATGGTCTGAGGAGAAAGATGCCCCAGAAAGCAATCAAGGCAGAAATGAACTTCCCAACTTGAACTGCCTTTCAGAGAAGACCTCTCTCAAACTTTCTATACTGTCTAAGCAGAGATCTTAGGAAGATCTGCTTCAGTTTCTAACTGTTGTATTTGTGAATGTTCCACAACTCAGTTGCCACTTCATCATGGGACTGATTGTACATACACTGATCACCTGGGTTCTCCCTCTGCTCTTCGTGCGGCTTTTGCCCAACAGCTGAACACATCCTTAATCTGAAGTCTTAGAACAAGCACCCCACCTAAGTCTTCCAGTTACATCCATTGTCAGATCACACTGAATGCCATGTCTAACCAACAAAAGCCTTGTGCAATTACTGGGAAAAGAAAAAAACGACTCAATTTAGCTTGATTACAGTCTCCTCATGAAAGTTTTTGTTGCAGTTTTTCACAAGTCTAAGAAATTTGAGTGTATAGCTTGCTTTTAAAAGTGTGGCTTCCCACCAGATATATCCCCCTTTTCCAAGCAGGTTGCTGTCTAAAGCAAATGATGGAAAGGTCTATTAGAAAGGTCTAATTTTTTCTTTTATTGTCATTCATCAATCCTGTAACAGGTTAGAAAACAAAAATTACATTTCAATAACATTTCATCATAGTTTATACAGAACTGGTTGGTTGATGCATGGTGTCATTTTCTCATCCAAATCCACAGCCACCTTTCAAACCGCAGAGTTTAGGAAATACAGTGCACGCTGGATTAAATTCTTTCACAATGTAAGGCACAACTACATGATCACAAGTAGTAAACACAAACACTGAAATAGAACTTAAGAATTAAACTTCAATGAAAAAGAAATAAAACCCAAACACACTCATGCAAAGTTGATCTACACCTACCAAGATGGTATGATCCAGTTTAAAAGAAGTGCAGTACTCTGTAAGTAAAACTGCATCATAAGGCTGTTATAATACATTACCTCTAAATACTGCGTAAGATCTTAAACTTTTTTCCATTTATATTTTATACAATTATGCAGAAAATAAGTTGTATGTGCCATATTCACATCCGCTATAATAAACTGATCATTAAAACTCAGGAAAGAGGCAAACAAGACAATGCAGTTTGTGGCACGCATCCATTACAGAAAACATTCATCAAGTTCACATCTCAAGTACTGAAGAAAAAAATACTCAATTAATGGTACATTTGGTGAATGAGGCTTTCCATAGCCAAACAACAATGCTGCACACAAAATTGTCTTTACTCAGCAGACAGTGATTATGAAAGCTTGTAGTTATGATTTGCCTCCTGTTCAGCAGCTAGAGTTTGCAAGACTAAAACTACAGAAGTTAAAAGAACACAACAGAGTTTACAGCAACTTGAAACTACTGGATACTTCCAAACACATAAAAAGAAAGACTTCGTCGTGGTTTCTTTTTAAATTATTTTTTGGTGATAAACTTTTGCAATTTTGGCATTCACTATAACTTTTACATAATGTGACAGTGAGCAAACCCCATTCAACTTACCTAATGTTTGCATCTTACGCTGAGAGGTAGTTCAAATGAAATCTTATGTAATAGGGGATGGGGGGGGTTTATGACTTTTTTTGTGATTTTTCTTCTTTTCTTACAAAAGTGACAAATCCTATACAAGCAGCATTTTGGACACATAAATATAAAAAGTTCTGGTATTTGCTAACTCAGCAAGACGTTCTCCTAAACACCCCTCTTGTACCAGGAATCAAGGCTCAGCGTGATACAACAGAGCACTTTGCCATGAAGCCAACAGCAGGAGCCTGGGCCTGCCACATCTAATAGTGAGCCCTGCTCCAAGCCCTCTTTACCCAAAAAAGGCAGAAAACGGATTTAGTTACTTAGTTAGTTTAGGTCATAGGGGGATGCAAGGTTGGAAAACATAACCACCAGGCTTCTACTTTCATCATAACACTCATCCAAGTGAGTCAGTGGGGCTTCAGTAATCTTCAATTGATCTGATACTCCTGTATCTGCTGCACAGTGAGTCCATAGTATGTGGCATGCTACAGACAAAAGGCAGAGTTTATGACACTAACTAGTACCTATTTGTTATTGTGATCACAAAACGCATCTAATGCTCTCTCTAAAGATGCAAAGCTCTTTGTTCAGTGCCCCTTAAAAATAAAAAACAAAAAGTGAAAAACTGAGTTTCTGTGGAGGGATTTCATTATCCAATTATTGCTGGTTTTGCACAGTACACCATTTACTGCTTTTCGAGAGGGGCTGTTGTTAGCCAATAATTTCAGACTTATCCTAGAAGAGACAGTGAGGTCAATACTTCATAAATGAAGAACTGAACAACTGGCAAAAACCTTGAAAATACATAAAATTCACGTATTCTCATTTTATAATCTTAAAATGAAGTTCTACAAAGACAACGTGTGCGTGACTACATGAATTTGCTTGTTACATGTGCTCTCAGATGATCTTGCTTTTGGTACACAGTAATTATGAGTGCAATTCTCCTTACATAGCAAGGGGCCAAATGTAATACAGTGAAAAGTCCAGCTGAAGATAAACCTTCTGTCCATTGATTAGAGCTAACACATGCAATGCCAACAGTGCTATTCCACTTACCCCAGATTATATTCAGTTAGACAGCAAAAGTGCATAGTGCAAATGACAGTGTTATTTCCTAGTCCCACAAGAATGTGTGTGGAAAGGTGGTATCCTGGAGGAGTAATTTATCAGTTTTAGCATTCTTAAACTACTGTGTCATCCTTCCTGGCAGAGTTTATGCTCTCTTTGAACTTCAGCTCCAGCAGTTTTCTGTCTGACACTGACTATTGGTCATAAATTTTTAAGTTTTGCAAAAAAACATTTGCTACAACTTTCCATTTAACTGGCATTTAACAATCCAGAATAATACTTGAGTTTTCCAGGTCCCCTCTTCAGGAATGTCATTTTTCTTACCTCTAGAATCTGAGGTTCAATTATTCTTGCTAATGTAATACAAACACAACAAGGTTACTTTGTTCTCCCAAATAC